TGCTAACACCTCCTCCTTATGAACCTCAATCCCGTCTAGTCTAATAGCCTGTATCTCAGTATTCTCCTCGACAACATTGTCTTTTTCCTGTGTGAATACTGATGAAAAATATTCATTTAGCACCTCTCCTATCTCTTTAGACTCCACGCACAACTTCCCACTACTGTCCTTGACTGGCCCTAATCTTACTCTAGTCATTCTTTTATTCCTGACATACCTATAGAAAGCTTTAGGGTTTTCCTTGATCCTACCTGCTAAACACTTCTCATGTCCCCTCCTGGCTCTTCCTAGCTCTCTCTTTAGGTCCTTCCTAGCTAACTTGTAACTCTCAAGTGCCCTAACTGAGCCTTCACGCCTCATCTTGAGAAAGGATGTACTGGCACTGGAGGGGGTGCAAAGGAGGTTCACTAGGTTGATTCCAGTTGAGGGGGTTGGCTCATGAGGAGAGACTGAGTAGTTTGGGATTATATTCATTGGCATTCAGAAGATTGAGGGGGGATCTTATAGAAACATATAAAATTATGAAAGGAATAGATAAGATAGAAGTAGAGAGGATATTTCCACTGGCAGGTGAAGCTAGGACAAGAGGGCATAGCCTCAAGATTAGAGGGAGCAGATTTAGGACTGAATTGAGAAGGAACTTCTTCACCCAGAGGGTTGTTAATCTATGGAATTCCTTGCCCAGTGAAGTAGTTGACGCTACTTCGTTTTTAAAGATAAGGTAGATTTTTTTTGAACAATAAAGGAATTAAGGGATACGGTGAGAACGTGGGTAAGTGGATCTGAGTCCACGAAAAGATCAGCCATGATCTTATGAATGGCGGAGCAGGCTCGAAGGGCCGGATGGCCTACTCCTGCTCCTAGTTCTTACGTTCTTATCTCTACATAAGCCTCCTTCTTCCTCTTGACAAGAGATTCAACTTCTTTAGTAAACCACAGTTCCCTCGCTCGACCACTTCCTCCCTGCCTGACAGGTACATACTTCTCAAGGACATGCAGTAGCTGTTCCTTGAACAAGCTCCACATTTCAATTGTGCCCAGCCCCTGCAGTTTCCTTCTTCATCCTATGCATCCTGAGCAAGGGTTTAACCACCCAGTGTACATTCCAACATATTGTTATCGTCAATTCTAGCTTGAGCTGGAGGCAAACTTTGACCTGGAATGTCAGCTCTATGGCTGGGCAATAATGTCACTATGACTGGTAGCCTTTGGGGGATAGTCTGAGGAAGGTGAGGGGTAATGGGGAAAGGTCACAGGTGAGAGATGGGGAGCATCAAGGGGAATAGATTGTGGGGGTTGAAAGGGAAAATGTTAAGGGCTGATGTTGTGATTTGTTTCCAAAGGGCTGTAGGGCAATAATGTAGGACATTGGGAATGATGCTGCAGCCAGGACCGGGGTGGGTCAGACGGAGGTCAGTGCGCGTGCCCGGGGGGGGGGGGCGCCATGCTGCGCGAGGCCTTCCCGCTCATCCGGGCCTCCAGCCCCGCGCTGCTCGAGCGCCTGTGCCGGGGCCGCGGGCTCGAGCTGTGGCCGCAGTTTATCAGCGGGCCCGAGGAGGAGGCCCTGCTCCGGGATGTCGAGCCCGGCCTTTACCGTAAACACTACCAGCGGGACCACTGGGACCAGGTACGCAAACCCGGGGAGGGGGAGGGTGTTGCAGGCCGCACCGCCCGGACATCCCTCAGCCCCAGGCACCTATTCCCAATCACCGATAGTAGGAACTGCAGATGCTGGAGAATCGTGTGGGTTCTCCTTTTACCTTTAATCTCTGTAAAACCTTGTTAGCTGAACTGTGACTGTGCCAGTGATAGTGAAAAATGGGACATAAAGCCTGGGGCTCTGACTCCTCCCTTCCCGCGCTCGACACCTTCAGTCTCAGCAGAATGTCATATCCAGGTTGTTCTCGGTTTTAACGGGTTTTTTATATATATATATATATCGCTGTGTTGTCCACCAGGCAATCCATGGATACCGTGAGATGGAGAAATCACGGTGGAGTGTACAGAGTGAATCTATCCTGCAGCGACTGCGAGATGTAGCGTTTCCCCCAGGGGTCCCCCAGCTGTCAATGGTACATGTGCTGGATCTTGAGAAAACTGGATTCATCAAAGCTCATGTGGACAGTGTGAAGGTGAGTGATACAACAGCTGTTCATGTTGGTGCCTTACTAAGTGAGGTCACAGCTTGTGTGCTGGGTCCCCTGTCTGCATGTTTCTACTTTTCAAGCACTTAACTGCCTCCCACTTACGGTCTCTGCTTCTGTCGCCCCTTTCAGTCAGCTCCAGATGGTCAGAAGTGTCTGCCTAGGATTTATTTCCTCAAGTTGCCTCTGCCGCTTTTCTTCCACACTCCCTAAATCTGTTTCAAAAACAGAAGTCGCTGGAAAAGCTCAACAGGTCTGGCAGCATCTGTGAAGAAAAAGTCAGAGTTAATATTTTGGGTCTGGTGACCCTTCCTCATAACTGGGGAAGGGTCACCAGACCCGAAATGTTAACTCAGATATTTTTTTCTTCACAGATGCTGCCAGACCTGCTGAGCTTTTCCAGCAACTTATTTTTGTTCCTGATTTACAGCATCTGCAGTTCTTTCACTTATTCCCTAAATCTATTTCTTGTGAATACTTTACCCCACCTTCCGCTAGAGTATCTCCTTCTGTATGCTAGCAGAAACCAGTTTTGAACATGTCTATCAAATCTGCCACACCCACCCCCTGAAATCTCCCTGGTCAATGGAAAACAATCCTAGCTCCTCTCCTGTCTTCCCCTGTTGAACCGCTCCCATCATTGATATCGTGCTTTGTAAAGGTCGTGACATCCTTCCTGAACTGCAGTTTCTGGAATTAGCAACAATACTCCAGTTGAAACCTAACTGGTCTTGTTAAGAAAAGTTGGTCATCATGATTTCCTTGCTTCTTGTACTTATTGCTCCACCCCCATCCTGTCTCTCCCACATAAATAACTTCAGGGTTATACATATTGGAATCTGCCCTGTATCTGTCCATATCACCATATGACTGTATCCTTCTGAAGTCCTGCTAAACAGAATTGCCACAATCTCTTTAATCCCATTTTCTTCTGTTTTCTGAATAAGTCTGTTGTAACTCTAAGCGATTCCTGCAGTGATTTTTCTTCTTGGTGCTGAAACGAGAGGCCTCCAGCAACCATAATCATCTTTTCTGTTAGTTATGACTCAGTTGGAGAGTTTTCCTTGATTCCCATTGACTTCAATTTTTCTTTTTAAAAATAACAATTAATTGGGGTTTTTTTTGGTCCCCAATCACATGCCGTTTGTTGAAGTATCTTTAAACTTTTATATGAAAACTGATTTTTTTTTTTCTTTCATTTTCTGTTTGCTCTTTTTCAATTTCCCATGCACACTCTACTGTAGTTTTGCCTTTTAGTGTTTTGCAATTTCTGGTGTCAATGTTTTATTTACACCGACCAGATATCCTAAATTAATCTAATCCCATTTGCCAGCATTTGGCCCATATCCCCCTAAACCCTTCCTATTCATGTACCCATCCAGATGCCTTCTAAATATTGTAATTGTACCACCTTCCACCCACTTCCTCTGGCAGCTCATTCCATACACGCACCACCCTCTGCGTGAAAAATTTGTCCCTTAGGTCCCTTTTAAATCTTCCCCCTCTCACCGTAAACCTATGCCATCTAGTTTTGGACTCCCCTACCTGGGAAAAGGACTTTGGCTACCCATCTTACCCATGCCCCTCATGATTTTATAAACTTCTATAAAGTTACACCGCAGCCTCCCAATGCTTCAAAGAAAATAGCTCCAGCCTAATTGTTTGTATTAACTCCTCATTCTTCCAACTAAACTGTCTCCATTTTGTGAATGTCCCCATCATGGATTCTTGAATTTGTCATGTTCTAATAAGTAAGATTTGAAATGGCCGAGTAAGAGGGTCCCAAAGACACAGATTGCCTTAATGTGTCTGTCCATGGTGTGGGTGAGGGGAATTTGGGAGCAGGAGAGACTGACTGTAGGAAGACTGTGCCTTATGCAGTTGCCTCTCTCTTGCTCATGTAGTTCTGTGGAGATACTATTGCTGGTTTATGCCTGTTGTCGGGGTGCGTGATGCGCTTGTTGAGTGAAGACAATGATGTGGATCAAGTGGATTTATTGCTACAGCAACATACTGCCTACATTCTGAGGTGAGATTGCAAAGTGTGTGGGATCAGAGGTTCTCAGTGGGAGGCGGCCTGCCTTAGTGCATCTATACTCAATCGCCACAGTTTTGATTCACTCAGTGGATTTGGGGATGACTTATCTTCTCTCCTGTCCCCTCCCTGCCCCATGATTAATTGTTTTCACAGTAACCTAACAGATCGAGGTTGCCTGAGTGCCCTGGGGAGGGGAAGGACTCCGAGTTCTTGGGCCTGAGAGTGTAAATATCAACTGTAGCAGTATGTCACTACTCTTTCCATCTTCCTTCATTAGTATTGTGTGTATGTTTCAGGGGAGAGGCCCGTTATCGATTCAGCCACCAGGTGCTGCCAGATGAAGAGTCATTTTTTGGGGGAGAGAAGGTGCCTCGTGAACGGAGAATTTCAATCATTTGTAGGAACCTGCCCCACGAACCGGGATCAGAGCTAGACTAATTCCCCCAGGGCTTTGTCCAGAATGAATGTATCTGGTAATCTGCACTGATTTAATCTCACATAAATGAAGCAAACATCTAGTTGTGCATCTTGAAGTTCTTTTAGGCTATTTTTTGTTTTCTGTCTTTCTCAATCACATACTGTAATCAGGGCTTTGTGACATCATTTCACTTTTTATTTGAACATTAGATAAATCCAAGCATTTGCAACAGCAGAATCTTTAAAATAAATAAATAATTTAGTTACATAAATATTTTTGGTTGCACAAACCATCGCCAAGAATCAGTCCCAACAGCACCTGTCATCACTATTAGTAAAACAGAAATCTTTTAACCCAGACTCAGAACTGCTTTAGGTGTAAATACACACATCACTGTTACAACGTTTCCATGCAGTTGAACACCTGGAATCAGCAAAAGACATTTTCAAAAGGCCAAAACCCTCCTCTCACACACCCACTATGCCCTCAGTTACAAGCTTGCAAAGTCTAATTGATGGGATAAGTATAACTGGTCATGAAAATTCTCCTACAGACTGAAGACCACAAGCAGACTCTGAGCAGATGAAACTGGTGAATTTATCACCTTACCTAGCTGCCAAAGGCAGCACTGCTGACCCTGTCAGCACTGAAATATTAGCATGTAACTGCTAGAAAGGAGGCAAGAGTCAGAGAGAGCAAAAGAGGTGAGGCTTTGGACAGATGGTGGGTGAAATAACCAGCACAAGCAAACAAAGGAGCAAGAGAGAGAGTAGCATAGGAGGAAAGGAGGGCCCTTGTGGTGGTGTCTTTACCACTGGGTCAGACGGCCCAGGTTTGAGTTCAAGAGGTGGGTCATAACATTTCTGAACAAGTTGATTTAAAAATATCTAGAAGAAATGACAATGAGGAGCTTCAATGGCTAAAGCACTTACAAAATCACTGACATATTCTTCCCTTCTTGTTCTCCTCCTGTTCCCCCACAACACCAAAACTTTCACCTGCCTGAGCTGAGATTTGGAGTCTTACCCAGTTCATCGATACCATATAGCCTGCATGTTGTTAAACTCTTCCCTTTTTTTGGTCTGTCTCTCTCTCTCTCTTTCTCTCTATCATCACCACTCTCCCCCACCCGTCTTCCCCCATCATTACCACCGCCAGCATGGCTCGGGTTTTGCCTCCGTTTGAGTAGGTTGTGCTGGGATATTTGTCTCTGCCCCACCCCTGTCCCTGGCTCAAATGGTTATCCAATGCAGCTGCACTCAGAGGCTGAAAGCTTTTCCACTGTGTGCCAGTGATTGTTAATGTCCAGAAAGGTGACATCCTTGAACTGAGTGGGGCGGCAGCACGGATCACTGACAATCTTCTCCTGTGACGTGTTCAGAAGGGCGGTTTTCCTTAGCAGCAGCGAAAGGGTCAGGTCATGGTTGGTCCTGGCCAGGGGGCAGTTTCCACTGCAGTACTTGAAGAGGACAATTTCATCTGACTGGTAACCAAGCCCCAGATCTTGAACACGCAGCTGGATGGCGCGAAGTCTGCAGTTCCTGTCCTCCCACTCCTCACCTTTCCTTGTCACAGACATTTTCCGTTTTCTTCGCGCTCTTCCTGGGTTTGACTGCGGTTCAAGTGGGGAGTCAGACGTGGGCAGTGGTGAAACTGTGAATTCTCCATATGAGCGTGTGATGGGTGTTCTTGGGAGGTCAGGCCTTCTTCCTGAAGGGAAGAAATGTCATTTAATTTTCCTTTCAACAAACGTAGGAAATGGTTAGATTTGGGAGCAGCAGTTTCATCATCAGTTCTGAAAATACAAACCCCTTCCCTTCCCCAACACACACACACTGGGAGAAGATGCAGAGTACTAGACTGGACAGCAGCTGTGATCTCTGCTCTGGCCATCTCTTCCCCATGAGGCCAGACTGTGGGCATTTCCTGATTGTGCCATTGGCACTGTACATGGCGTGGGTGAAACTTAATGCCCTGGGGCTGTGGAGGGTCCAGATTAAGGCCTTGTGTGTAAAAAAAAAAAAACAAATCCACTGACCTCCAATCTAAAGCTGACTTGGATTTTACTCAGATTAATCTGTCTGTGGGATCAAGTATTTGATAGGTTCGCTAACTCTATTCACAGTCACTACTACAGACACAGGCAAATGGACTGAATGAAGTTAATGTCAGAGTGAGAGAGGCGCTCTTTCTTTTTCACTTACCTGACATATGCTGAGGTGGATCATCAGTGTCCAGAGGTTGCTCCACTGTCAGATCAACAGGAAAAATGATTAAAATTGCCACCAGCACAGGGAATGTCATGATTCAGTCAAGAGTTTGGAAATCCTCTTGCCTCCCAAAAAATATTGGGTGACTGAGGGACTGCTGGAATCGTTCACTCCAAAATTCTTGATTGAATTTTAATTTCAGTGGCTCTTCGTTCGCTGTTGCAGGATGTTTGTGATGGAATGGGTGAATTGGAGTATTTAAAGCAAATCTGCATCCTCTCACTGACATATTTCATACGACATTCCTGGCATGACTAGCCAGTGAGCTGCCCGTATCAGCTGGTCCAAATACTTCAGAGTATTGCAGAAATGATGCTGAGTGTGAGCAAAACTCAGCCAACCACCCTGCTGATGATTCATCAGGTGCAGTGCAGTTGTACCTGCAGGGACCAGTAGAGGCAATCCCAGAGGGTAATATTACCCTGTCAAACCTCGGTTGCGGGGGGTGGTGTGGTGACTATAGCTTCATGCTTTCCATCCTGACTGGGCTATTCCTAAACTTTAATACACAGTGACTCAGTGGGAGAACTCTTATTTTTGAAATAGCATTATGTATTTAAGTGTCATTTCTAGTATCTTCATTCTATAATCCAAGTTAATCCATCAGATCTGATAGTGTTCTGTGTACCAGACCTGTCAAAGATACTGCAGCAAGACCTGGACAATATCCAGGTTTGGGTTGACAAGTAGCACATAGTCATTGCTTCGCACTTGTATGGTGCGAATGTTATCTCCAATGAAAGAATCTAACCATCACCCCTCGATATTAAATTGCATTACCATCACTGAATCCCCCACTCCCAACATTCAGAAACTGAACTGGACTCGCCATCTAAATAATACAACTACAAGAGCACTCAGAGAGTAGGAATCTTGCAGCGAGTAACTCACCTCCTCAATTCCCGAAGCCAGACCAGCATTGACAAGGCACCAATCAGGAGTGTCATTGAACACACCTGGCTGAGTGTAGCTCCAAAAATACTCAACAAGCTCAACATTGTCCAGGACAAAGCGGCCCGAGTGCTTGTGGATGTGGTGTCAGTCATTGTTTGTGGTGGAGGGAGCCACAGTAGCAGCAGTGTGTACCACGTATAAGATACACTGCAGAAATTAATCACAGCTCCTTCCAAACCTGTGTCTGCTACCATCCAGAAGGACAAGGGTAGCAGATATATGGGAAAACCACCACCTGCAAGTTCTCCTCCAAGTCACATTAGCCTGATTTGTGATTCCGTCACTGTCACTAGTCAAAATTCTAGGACTCCCTCCCTAACGGCTTTGTGGGCCTTATTATAACACATGGACTGCAGCACAGCAATTTGGAATGGGTAACAAATGTTGGCCTAGGTGATGACAGTCACATCCTCGGAAAGACTATCAAAAATGTCACAACACCACACTCTCAGTATGTTTGCTCAGTTTTCTGAAGTATTTCACGGACGGTGAGGTGACTGGGATACCAAAGTAGGGACAGACTGCTGGATAATGGAATTGTTTTGTGACTACACCCCCTCAGCTCTAAACTGTACTCGGGTCGCTTTCTCACACACTTGATACCCAATGACTCAGTGAATGTCAGCAAGCTATTGAACCCCAGTTAGCATTATGAAAAACCCCAATCACAGATCGGGGGTAGGTTCGCTGCTTGATCCAGGAAATCACTGTCAGGCCAGGACTGGATTGAAACTCGGAAAATATTATTCTTGGTCATGTACACATGGGGTCAGGTGGACAGATGCAGAGGAGGGGAGAGCAGACATACTCAGAGGTAGAGTTGATATGGACAGCTTCTGTAGACACAGTCTGAGACAGTTCTGCCATGCACACCTTTCGCATAATGTGTTTGATATCTGTAACAGTTTGAAATGCTTTGTTAAATTTTCCTGGTGTATTCCTGCAGACTGTCCTCGTAAATCCCACAGTGAGCTGTCTCTGCTTAATCCCCACACAAATCATTGTTTCTGGGTCAGGAGGAAGGTTTCCACTTGTGAAGTGATCTCACCCCCACTCTGAGCGGATGCAAAGCAGCCAGCGCCTGCCAGTGTCACCTTGGAGAGGCCACTGTGGGGCTTGCAAGGTCAGGGGGCAGCCTCCATCTCAGCTCCACAGGCTGGGGCAGGATGGGTCTGTCCCCACATGCTGGGGAGGGCTAGAGTATCAGTCTTGCCTGTTCCCCAAACTCAAATCAGAGATAAGGAACATGGTCATCCAGTGTCACATCAACAGATGCAAGTCTGTCACAGAGGATATCCCAACTGGATCAGAACAGGGAGAGGCCAGCACCAGCTAACTCAAAATCAGGATGCTCGTACCAACCTCTTAGCCTCAGCTGTGTAGTTCGTAGCAAAAGGAAGGGATTCATGACCAGAGAATTAAACCCAGTGATACATAGCTCCTCAGCCCCATCTTAAAATGACTCGGAACATTCCTTCTGTCGGTATACTTTTGATGGAATTTTAACCAAAGAAGCAGGATTTCTCAGATCACAGCACATTCTTTCCAAGGACCAGTGAGCAGTCGTTCACATAAGAGTCAATTAACCATCAGACCACTCTCCAAACTGAAACAATTGCTTTCCAGTCTGATTCAATGACTGACATGATCAGAGTCCCCAGTCACACCTGCTGTAGGGACTCTGCTTATATACCCAGCTTTGACTGAACTATGAGGAACCAGCAATAGTTAAATCCTCTTTTCCAGAGATACAGATCAGACAGACATATTCGCACGTACAGACCATTCAAACAGATATACACACATAAACATACTAAAGCTTGAGTCACAATGTGTTGATGTATTCTGATAAAGTTCAGGAATGGAAACCTCTTTCAGTGACACATTTCTGAATGCCTCACTCACGGAAAAGGAACAAGCTGCTCAAAGACTTGCGTTTCACAAGCTGCAATGTAGCTGGTAATTCCTACTCAGAGACTAGATGGCACCTCTGTATGAATAAGGACAAGCTATCTCTGCAAAGTGACAGGAGTCAGTGAGTAGGACACTACCACTCAGTCCTCTCTGGTTCACACCAGCTCTTTAACAGAGCAGGCCAGTTAGTTCATTCCAAACCCATCTCTTTTTCCATATCCTGAAATGTTTGTTCCCCTGAAGTATCTATCTAATTCTGTTTTGAAAGTTACTGCTGAATCCACCATGTCTAAAGTAGCACTTTCCAAATTCTGAACACTTGCTGCAAAGGTTTTCTCCCACCGCCTCTGGTCATTGAGCTGACCAAAGGAAATCGTTTCTCTTGGTTTACTTTAAACACTTCATAATTTTGAAAACTTCCATCAAATTTCCTCTTCTGCAAGGAGAACATTGCAGCTTCTCCGTGTAACTAAAGTCCCTCATTCACAAGACAATCTAGGGGACCTGCCCGACACTCTCACTAATCCCACACAGCCTTCATAAACCACAGTCCCTGGAGTTATACACTATGTGGCAGTTGAGCCTGGACAAGTGTTTTATATGTGGATAATCAAAATGACAATGATTCACCCTCACTTTCACAAAATTCACCAAGAAATAATAACTAATAGTGTTTATTCTCAATGTAAAGGGACTGGGACTGCAGTCTCTTACAGCTCACAATGACCTGCCATTTAATCAAAAGCTCCAAAAACCGACACCCAATATATGAGGCTGTCTTAAGAAGGTGACAAAGAGGTTGGTTTTAAACAGCATTTTTAAGCAACACGCAGTGGGGAGGCAGTTTCAGTGTTTTGAGCCCAAGCAACAGAAGGCACAGCCACCAGTGACAGATCGAGATAATCAGGGATATGTAAGAAACCCGCAGGGAGGTTACAGAGATCAGGGTGTAGGGGCTGGAGGTGGTGACAGATAAGGAGTGTAGGGGCTGGACGAGGTTACAGTGATAGGAAGGGGTATAAATGCTGGACGAGGTCACAGAGGGGAGGCAGTGTGCCATGTGATAAGTGAATTCTGCTCTGCTGTTCATTATGGTCACAGCACCACTTTCCCAGGCCCTATCTGACCTCTGGTGGTGTCCGATAGAATGGTTGCAACAGATGGAGGATTGAGCAAGAGGAGGATGGAGAGAGAGTAAAAAACAGGGATTGCCAGAAGATAAAGCCAGGGAAGAGATCATCACCAGCCTAATTCTCACACAGCCACATGTCTGCACAATCATGTATTTGTGCGCGCACACACACTTTTGCAAATCCATACTCTTACATCATTTGTTGCTAACCATTAAAACGTCTCATTTCAAAATTGCAAAGGTCGATAGTAGCACTGCTACCTCACAGTAGCAGGGACCCGGTTTGATTCCCCCTCTGGTGACTGTCTGTGTAGAGTTTGCAACCCCGTGTCTGTGGGTTTCCTCCCAGTGTCCAAAGATGTGCTGGTTTGATGGATTGGCCAGGTAAACTGCAAGGTTACAGTGATAGTGTAGGAGGCTGAGTCTGGGTGGGATGCTCTTCAAAGGGTCATTTCAGACTCAATAGGCCAAATGGCCTCTTTCCGCACTGTAAAAATCCTTTGATTCTATTGTATTTACATTCCTTCCTGGGTTAAGTTTTATTGAAATAAAGGGGCAGTCGATTGTTTATTTTTTTCACCCCTTCTTCCCATTCTCATTTCAAGCTAATGTTTATAGTAAAATGAATTTCTCCTCAATTATTGAACTACATCAAACTTGAAGTGAGTAATCAATATCATCCCCATTCCAATAACGACCAGGAAGATCTCCGCCAACCCACAAAAATGCAGGAAAACTGAGAGGAATGGAAGGAATTCTGATTATAGCCAAATTGGAAAATACCGAATCTATAAATACTGGAACCTCCATAAATCAGGTGAAGGACGAACATATTTTGCTGAGTTCTGTGGTCAGTTGTGGCAGAATCTTAGCAAAGGATGACCGTTTGTATTCAATCCTCAGCTTCACAAAACCTGTCTACAGATTGCTGTCTACACCAAGACCCTGATTGATGTGGCTACTCCAGTGTGTGTTCCAATAAGGAGGGGGCAGCACCTGAACCACAAACTGCAAATATGCAGAAAGCAGCAATGGGGTAGATGCAGTTAAACACCAGAGGCAGGAGAATCAGTGACAGCAAAAATCATTCAAAACCAGTGAAGGTGCCTGTAGTCAGGTCAGTCACAGGATTGCAGCAGAGGTAGAGTGTGAAACAGTGACGTGGCACAGACTATTCCCAGGTCAGACCCACAGCAGGCAGAGACTTCCAGACATTGATATTCCAGGTACTGTCACATACCTGGTGATGTATGGTCTGAAGGAACAGACAGAAAACACTATAACAGAGACAGGAAACCAGTACAAAAGCTCAGATTCTTACTGGGGGAGACCTTCCCTAGGCATGAACTCTCGCAGTAGTACTAACCCCCACACATCAACTCTTACTGGGATACAATCTCCAAATCTAACTGGGGTACTAGACCTACACACCAATTCTTGCCAGGGTATGGGATCCCACACCCCCCCCACACATTTACATAGAGGGGTACAAGTCCACATATATATATACACACCCATACACAGGGGTATACGATCTCTCTCACACACACACACAGGAGTACATGTTCACACGCACACCCTGGGGCACAGGTCCACACACACACGGGTACAGATCCAAAAACACACACACATACTGGTAGAGGTTCATATACACAGGGGAACGGGTACAAGACCACACACACACCATGGGGTACAGGTCCACACACACATACACAAACACACACTTGGCTGCTGGTCCACACAGACATACAGCTTCTCTCACACACGTACAGGATTAAAGGTCCACACACACAAGTATAGGGGTAAAGGTCCATGTACGCACTGTGGTACAGGTCGACAAACACATACGCCATGTGGAACACATGCACATATATACCCACAGGAGTGTCAGTCCACATATACACACATAACACATGGGTGCAAGTCCACACAAACACACACTAGCATACAGGTCCACACAGACACACATACGTATGCAGGGGTACAAGTCTGCACCCACCCACACAGACACACAGAGGTACAGGCCCACATACACACACATACACTGGGGTACATATGCACATACATACATGCAGGAGTACAAGTTCACATATATACAGGGGTACAAGTCCACCTGTGCGCGCGCACAAACACATCCACGCACACACAGGGGTACAGGTCCACACACAAATACACATTATGGTACATACGCACGTACATACATGTGGGAGTAGAAATCCACATATACATACACACATGTACAGTGGTCAAAGTCCATACACACACACGGGTACAGGTCCACACAGACAGGTACAGGTCCAAACACACACAGACAGAAGGGTACAGGTCCAAACACACACACACACAGACAGAAGGGTACAGGTCAGGTCCACACACACACACACACACACACACAAAAGGGTACAGGTCCACACACACACACACACAGACAGACAGAAGGGTACAGGTCCACATACACACACAGACAGAAGGGTACAGGTCCACACTCACAGATGGATACAGGTCCACACACACACACAGACAGAAGGGTACAGGTCCACACACAGACAGAAGGGTACAGGTCCACATGCACAGACAGACAGAAGGGTACAGGTCC